CCATGCTCTTGTGGGTGGCTCTAGCTCATTATAGTCAGAGCATGAGGAGCTTGCTAAGAGGGTCACTGCTAACTGCTATGAATGAAGAGAACTGACAGATGCATGATCAAATGTGTGAAGGTCAGTAGAGATTTGATAAGACTCTAACACACCCATGAGTTCTGTGGACGAAGAGAAGGAGGAGGGAGAGGAGGATGATTATGACTTTGATGGTGTTCCCTTACCATAGGGGTTTATGTTATTATTATTATTATTATTATTATTATTAATTATGTGAATGTTTATTCAGTGTGTATATGAAAACTTTCATGCATGTGGATTTGTATCATTAGTTAAATTATGTTTGTTATCATTGTTTGTACTTTTTGGTGATATAGCTTCTCAATTGTGATGATACTTATTTGAGATATAGATTCATTTTCTGCAGGTTGTGAGAATCTCATAATTCTTTTATATTTTTAAAAAATTTACTATAGGTTCGCGTCAAACTAGCATTAGGATTTATGACGCTAATTATATTATTTTTTTTTTCAACATTATTCGATACACATTGATGATAATATAACATCTATGACAGGCTAAGTCAACGCAAATAAGCATGCTAATCACACTAACGATGCAAATCAAGTTTAGCGATAGAATATCCTCATGTTAGTGTTGGTTTGTCTGATGCTAATTTGATTTAATCTTGTAATGATATTTGGATGACCCTTAAAAAGTAGTTGAGAATAATCCTAAATTCTATTCATATCTCAGAATATCTCCATTTCATTAAATGTCACATCCATGCTCTTATATTCATATCTTTGTATATCTACATTTCATTAAAAGTCACATCCATGCTCTTGATGAACTTCTGAATATGAAAATCTCAATATTTGTACAAAAATTCATACGAGTAATATTCAATTGAAGTGAATTTGATAGATTTTGGGGAGACCTCACCCTTGGATCCTGCAACAACATGAACAATGATAGAGAAACCAAATATCTTTGGGTGAGATATATTTATAACCTTGTCACTTTAGGCTTCTTTAGATAAGCCTTCATTCAAAGGGACTGACAGATCATGATTGATCGAATAAACTGCAATATTTACTGCTTCCATCTAAAACTACTTTGACAAGCCTGCATGCAACCTCATATTCTCTGCACGCAATGTGATTCTTCTATTCATATGTTCAACCACACCATTTTGTTGCGGTGTCCTTGAAATTGTGAACGCATGCCTGATCCATTTTTATGCAAAATTTTATTCGTCTTTGATCACAATACTCATCACTATTATTTGATCTGAAATACTTTAATCTCAAACATTTCTCATTTTCTATCATGATTTTCCACTTCTTAACTACTCAAATACATCATATTTATGCTTTTAAAAGTAAACTTATTCCTTTCTGATATGTTCATCAATGAAAATGACAAAATAATGAGAACCTCTAATGGAGTTAACTTGAGTAGAACTTCATATATTAATATTCATTAATTACAACCCCTTATGTTTCGCCATTAGTGACCCATATTTGAAGAATTTTATGCTTTTCATATATATAGTCTTCACAAAAATCTAGATACATAGGTTTTAAATCCTAAATCTTGCTCTTAAATAGTATGGATTTCATACATTTCTTACTCATATAGCCAAGGTTGTGGTGCCAATGACCTACTTCAAGATTTATTTTGACCAGATCAATAAATTATGTCAGCCCATTGATTAGGTAAAAATCACCTTCAATTTTGTCTTGAGCCATCACCAATGCCCATAGTCACTTTCCATGAATCACTTGTGAAAGTAGTCACATACTCTAATTTTGTAAGCTGACTTGGAACAAGTCTAACTTCACTATGCTTGTACACTGTTTCATTTGGAAACTTGATATCAATTTTGTCATGCCCAACAATATTGCAAGCATTTTTATCTCTTTAGATCATTTTGAGTGTATTTTTTAAACATATCTTTTTTGGGGCAAGCTTGAAAAAATGCACTTGAATCTACGATCCAAGATTCAGTATTAACTAGGGATAAAACCAAATATTCACCTTAGATTTTCCTGTGGAGATATTTTTAGAGAAATTTCTATTTTGAGCTCCAACATCAACCATCTTCGTAGCTTTGAAGTTTTTTTTTGAAGTTACCTTTCTTCACATGGTTCTAACAGTCACCTCATGATTTTCTCTTCCTGACATAGACTTTCCTCTTCTAGACTTGGATATACTCTACCAGTATTTCTATCTATATCTATTCATTTGTTCTCAACATTCAATGTAAAATTTTAAGATTCACTGCTTTCCATCTAGCAAACTTCTTCATCCAGCACTAACTATGCAATGTCATTGAAGTTTTTAACTTCATATTACCATAAGAGTTGCTCACCATCATTACCAGTCCATCTCAGCTGTCTGGCAATAAAGTTAGAATTAACAATACTCTTACCTCATCAACAAACTTGATACCCACACAACACACAGGGTTAGTCATAATGTTGACTTTATTTAAGTGATCAATAACCGTACTACATTTCACCATTTTCATATTGAATAATCTCTTCATCAGAAAAATTATATTTGACGTTGAAGATTTCTTATATATCATTGTCAGTGTTGTTATGAGATCCACTTTAGTTTTCTCATTCATTATTTTGAAAGCAACAAAAAAGGAAAGTGAAAGATGGATCAAACCTAGTGTTCTAGGAACAAACATTTCTCATTCTTTGAGAATCAAATTACCAATGCTTCTTAGAGATTTCGTCAAGTGATAGATACGTTTTTTTATACAAGAAATCTTCAACTTACATTTTTCATAACTCAACGTTCAAATCATTGAACTTCTCCACCTTATACCTTGTTTCGTCGGTCATAGCTCATACTTGAAAAAAAGAACTTAAAAAAAAAAGTCCTTTCTGATACCACTTTTTGGGGCGAATAAAAACGGATTTGATCAATTCACAACCAAACTGCACCGCAGAAAACATAATGATTCGAGGAATTTGAAATACAAATTGAACAGAAACGCACAACACAAGGAATCCAGAAAAGCACAGAAGATTTAATGTGAGAACCTTAAGGTCTAGAAAAAATCACAGAGCTACAATGCACCAAAAATTTAATTATGAAAATGAGGATTTTATAGAATTGCGCCAAAAATTTGTAGTTCCTCTCTACACTCTTGAAACTTGCAACAATTAAGGATGTTCCTTCCCCTCTTGTTTGCACAAGAGAATTCACTAAAATCTACACTTGACTCGCAAACACCACTCCACACAACTTCACACTTGTCATGCCCGTCGTCGAGAGGCTTCCAAGGGAATCAAAATTCCTAAAGAAACTACACCTGGGTTCCCCTATGACACTCGGGAGCCACTTTTGGGTGCAGGAGCGCCCAGTCCTTTGGACTGGATACTAAACTGCTGGAAGGCCGCAATATATGTCTTTTAATCAATGTTGAGGCTTCAAAAAATGATGATAAAGCAAATTATAGTCTTTTGGGTTGAAGGAGTTCATGATAATGAAGCATTTAAATCAGGAGAAGCCTCCAACTTTGAAGATTATGGACATCAGCATTCTACTTTGAATATTTGAACTACCTTTATCTCTGATATAATTATTAAAGCATTATATGTCACCATTGTGAAAGAGATGCTTTTAAAACTCAATAATTAGTTTGTTCGCCCATACAGATTAAAACTTGAATCTGTGCTCTAAAAATCTATTTATTATTTAATTTATTACTATTATAAATATATGTAATTTTAACTCCTTTAAAATCCTAATCTATTATTTCTCCATGTATGATGCTATTTTCAAATTTTGGCCCAAAACGGCACCTCAATCGATTTGTAAATGTACAGAAAATTCAATGGAGTAGAATTTCAACCGATTTGTTAGAATATTATCACTAAATTTTTATTATATTAAAATTTTAAAATAAACAAAATGTACAAACTAATAACAATTTTTTTGCATTGTATTATCTAGGGATGTAAATGAGCTGAACACGAACGAGTCTAGGCTCAACTCGTGTTCGGTTCGATAAAAAATAACAATGTTCGTATTTGACTCAATTATATTTCGAACAAAAAATATATATTTGTGTTCGAATTGTTTGCTTAGTGAGCTGAAAACGAGTTGTTCGCGAACAAAGAATCATTTTGACAACCGTAATTACACAGTCGTAGTACGTAAAGAGTTGTGGCGATATTTACATCTTATTATTTATATTAAAACATCATTTAATTAATTTAATATATTTTTATTCTATTTTTTAATTAATAATTTTAATTGATTTTAAATCTTTGTAGGTTTGCAGTCAATTAATTCTTTCGAGTCAACACGAGCCGAACACGATCGAACAAATCTTTATTTGTGTTCTGCTTGTTTATATATCGAGAGCAAAAAAAATTGTTCGTGTTCAACTCATTAACTTAGCGAACAAATCGAACACGAGCTGCTTAACGAGTCGAATACGAACTGTTCACGAACAACGAGCAATTTTGACCGCCCTAGTACTATCATGGAATAAATATAATATTTACAACTTATTTTGACCAAACTAATCCTTGAATTGAATGCGATTATTTTGACAGATTAGATAATAAAAAGTGTTTTTTCGTGAATATTAATGAGTCAGAGTCAATGAAAATCTGTCAGATGTCCTTTTCTGAACATTAATTTTGCACACTACATTATTGAATAGGATATGAATTGAATGAATGAATCACTGATGATACGCCATGCATGGCTCCTTTGTCCACATCTGCGTGCTGCGCATTTCATTAAGCATGAAGAGAGTAAAAGTCTTCCTAAAAGATCTGCAAGAGAATTCACAATTAGAAAATGGATTTAGGAGAAAGAAAATAATTATTAAAGAACAACGTACGAGCTGAGAAGCTTAATCGATTTTGATGTTTTAGTTATATTTGCTTTTAGCTAAGAGCTGAGTAGCTCAGTTTTCATTATAAATAGGTGTATGTGCTCACAGGGCAGCAGGGAAGTAAACAATGGCTTCAGATTTATCAAGTCATCTTGAGTTAGGTAGCTCTCTCACAGTCCCGAATGTGCAGGAGCTTGCTGCATCCATTCCTCCCAATGAGAATATTCCGGAGAGATACATCAGACAGGAAGTGAATGTCGGTCTTGTCGACTCCATCGACGGCGATGAGATTCCTGTGATCGATCTAACGAAGCTCGTCGATGAAGAAAACATTGATGGGGAGGAGCTGTCCAGGCTAGGATTGGCATGCAAGGAGTGGGGCTTCTTCCAAGTATGTATCAATTCTTATTTAGTTCTTGCTTGTAGTCTTTATAGCTAGCGTTTCCAATTATATATATATTTTACTTTCAAATTTTGAGCAGTTGATAAACCATGGGATTACAAAGCAAGTAATAGAGAAAACTAAGAATGATATCATGGAGTTCTTCAAGCTTCCGCACAAAGAAAAGGAGGCAATTAAACAATTGCCTGGACATATAGAAGGTTATGGTCAAATGTTTGTGCATTCAGAGGAACAAAAGCTAGATTGGGCAGACATGCTAACATTGGTCACCCTACCTCATAAGGACATGAGGTTTTGGCCTAAGAATCCAGCATCCTTCAGGTCCCCTTCAATTTAAAAAATTGATTAATTATAACAAGATGACCATTGATATAGTTTATCAAATATGGGAAAAAAAAGATAATATTTTTCATTTTTTTTTTATTTCACTTACTTTTTGGTTTTGTATTTACATATGTTAATTTGTTACAGGGATACACTCGAGACATATACATTAAAGATTAGAGAACTTGTTGATTGTTTGTATAGATTGATGGCTAAGGATTTAGGGGTTGATCCCCAAGTTATGCTTGATGTTTTTAGTGGGCAGATGCAGTCTATTAGGATAAATTACTATCCACCATGCACACAAGCTAATAAAGTGTTGGGTCTCTCTCCACACAGTGATGGCATTGCATTAACTGTGCTTCTACAAGCAAATGATGTCAATGGTTTACAGATTAAGAAAAATGGCAAGTGGTTTCTTGTAAAACCAAAACCAGGAGCTTTCATCATCAACATTGGTGATATGTTGGAGGTAATTATGTGTTAAAATATTTCATTTATCATCAAAGTAATTTTCCGATTTTCTTCTTAATTAGTCATGTTTCCGGCCAACCCAACTTTCTTTTATATATTTATTTATTCATTTGTCTTCTCAACAGATACTGACTAATGGAAAGTATAAAAGCATAGAGCATAGAGCAATTATAAACATGGAGGAGGAACGATTATCGATAGCCACGTTTCATTTACCACGTACAGATGCTGTGCTATGTCCTTTTCCAGACCTTGTTAATGTTGATGGGGAGCTCTATAAGACAATTAGTGTTAAAGAGTATACAAGAGAATACTTTTCAGGAAAACTAAATGGAAAGAATGCCTTGGAGAGGATGAAATTAAGGAAATGAAGTATAACACCTAATAATAATTTGTAATCAAAATAATTTAAAAATATATTACTATTATTGCTATTGAAATAAAAAGTGGAGAGATCACATTATATCTTTTGTTAGTACCATGTAACTTATTAACTAAATGAATGTAATGGTGCAAGAATTCGAAGTTATTTCAAAGTAATGCATTTTCAATTTCAATGTTGAAATATTGCTTGCTCATATTATGTTGGTTATAGCATGTCTTCTTTATGCTAAAGGAATGTTTTTGACACTTATACAATATTGTACCTATAATGTACTTTTGCTTCAAAAAATATGTGTGCCCAAATCTATTTGAAATGTTTGTATATTATCAGAGCACTGGTGAAGAGAAACAAGATTTTCCTAGCAAACTTATTTGCTAAAAAGATTTTACAATCAATCAAATAAAAAGTCTTTTTGTTGGATTTCTAGTAGCTTACCATCCATTGAAAAATCCCATGTTGGAAATGTATTAAGACTAGATAGAAAGGTATCCAAAAATTGTCTAACATCTTATCACAATCCTATTTAAGAAAATATTAGACCAAAAATTCATCATTAATTGGTTGCCACAAAAAATGCAAGCAAACGAACCTTACGATCCTTTAATTTTATGCAAAATTTCAAACACCATGCATATATTATAGTTAAAAAAATAATAACATATTATTTGTCTTGTTGAAAGCTTAATATAACTAAGAATCAAGAACCTTCTTTGTGATAATATTGTTAGTAAAATTAAACCATTATAAAAAAATATATGCATCTTTGAAGTTATGAAATAATTGGAGATGATTAGGAGCTATTAAGTTGAGATCAAATATTTTAGAAATCATCCAAATTATGATGTCAATAAATTGACATTTGAGATAAAATATTTTAACAAGATATATCTAATGAGAAAAAAATTATTTAAATATATGAAAATACTTAGAAACTTAACTACACGTATTAGGTTGATAAATGCCATACTTAAATAACTCGGACTATGCAATGGGGGGTTGACCAACCCTCTATTCAGTAATGCCCTTATGTTTCAAGTACAAGGAATCCAAACATTTGGAATAGTAATTCATTTAATTATTCAATTATTTATGATCTTCTCATATTTTTGAATACAAGAGTTTGATTTTTCTTTTAGATTGTAATAAACTACTTCAATTTAATCACAATTAGTTGGAAAAGACTTCTAGATAAATTTTGTCATAAGGCCATAGTGATATTTAAAAGGGAGAAAATCATAAATTATTCAACATTAGATTGCTTTTGAGAAGGATAAATATTGTAAAAAAATTTTGTCCAAATTCCATCAATTTTTATGTTAGTATAGAAACTCAATCTCAAAGCATATATGCCATCATCACAACCTAGGTATCCATTTCCTTGTCAAGATCTAGCTTTTTGTCCTTGATCATCACCAAGTAAGAAGGCAGGCATAATTAACAATTAGGACCTTAGCAGGCTCAAACATCACTTTAACCTAATCGCATATCGACTAACATATTTGGTTATTCATTTGGTCAGTTTCTTCACACTCATTAATTTTTTATACTAAATATTCATTTAAGTTGAGTTGTCTTGCATCCTTAAATGTAAACATCCCATGGATTCAAAGCTTTGCTTATTATAGACCCTTGGAACTTGATCCCAACGGTTTATATGCAACAGTTAGGGCTGTCAAAATAGCTCGTTGTTCGCGAACAGTTCGTGTTTGGTTCGTCAATGAGTTCGTGTTCGATTCGTTCGATAAGTAAACGAGGCGAACACAAACAAATTTTTTTTCGTTCGGTTAGTTAAGTTAAATGAACCAAACAGAAACAGTGATCATTCATTCGTGTTCGAATCGATGTTGTTCGAAATATAAAATAATTTAAAATAATTATATATAAAAGATTTATGATATTTTAAAAAATTAAATTTTATAAATTACAATATATAATAAATTAATAATAATAGTATATTAATATACTATATTAGTAATATACTAATATAGATATTATATATTTATATAATATAAATTATATAATTAATATAATATATTATTTATACATATTAATATTAGGGATGTCAAACTGGCTCTATGTTCACGAACAGCTCGTGTTCGGCTCGTGTTCGGATCGTTCGTTAAGAAACGAACACGAACAGTGATTTCACGAATAATTTCAAACACGAGCTTATATCAAACAAACTAAATTTCAAACGAACCGAACACGAACACAAGCTCT